CCTCCTGCCGCTGCTGGAGCCGCAGCCCGGGGCAGTGCGGCGGGGAGCGGGCGGCAGCGCTGCGGGCACGCGCTCCCGCTTGGCAGCACTCACCCTTATTTTCCTTTCGCCTGCAGTTTTTATTTTATTTTATTTTATTTTATTTTTGGAGAGGAGTGTGCAAATTGTTATTATCACTTTTTTTTTTTTTTTTTTCCTTCTTCTCCGAGCAGCGAAGGGAGGCGGGAGCCGCCGCGCTCCGCTCGCCGCCCGCAGCCCCGGACCTGCCCCGCAGCCGCTGCTACCTGCGTCGCCTGGTAAGAGCCCCCGCAGCCCCTGCGGGCGCTGCCGCCCGCCGCCGAGCCCCTGCTCTGCTGCCCGCAGCTCCCGCTCTCGCCCCGCTTCCCYTTTATTCCTCCTCCTTCCTCCGCGCCTTCATCACCCTTGCTTTATGTCCCGTTTCATCCCGTCTCTCCGTGCTTCGCGGCTGCCAAAGCGGGAGCTCCCCGCGGCAGGGCCGGGGTGCCGGGTCGCCTGCCCACGGACCTGGCYGGAGCCTGGTGAGGAGCCGAGCGCTGCGGATGCTCCACGCTTTGTCCCGCGCACGCTGCCCCGCAGGGCCCCGTTCTGCTTAGTGCACCCACCTCAACCCTGCCCTCCCGGGCCAGGGGCGCTCTGTGGGGTGCTTGGTGCTCTATGAACCTCCGTAGAGTCGCTGCAGAGCTGTCAGCGGGGACGGGAGCCTCCAAAAGCTCGGAGCCCTGTGGTGGCCTCACCTGGCATGTCCCAGGCTCCTGCCTGGGGTGTCAGTGAGGGAAGCAGGGGCAGGAGCTGTGCCAGGCTGCTGCCTGCAGTGCCAGCTCTGGCTGACCAGGCAYGGGACACGCACGTGCTCTTCCATGTCCTGCAGCTCCTGTTGCAGGCTGAGAAGTGCCCGGGCTTTTTATGGACTTGGAAGCTCTTTGCAAGTGCAAAGCAATGAGCCACTTGCTGGAGTGGCTTTGCYTTTGCCACTGACCCCGCACTGAGGCTGTTGTTGGTGGTGCCTCCTGTGTTTTTGGTCCCACTGCAAAGAGCTCCCCTTTGGCTCCCTTGCAGGGAGCTGGGTTGCTTTGCTGTCTCGGTGCTTTCTTCAGTCGCTGTCTCTTCCCTGGACTCGCCATCCCGCTGGAGAGAGACTGTATGGAACCACCTTCATTGGGTTAAGAAACAATTGGTGTGGAAGGCGTGCAGTGCTCAGCATCTTGTGTGGTTTGCTTCTCACCACGGGGGCTAGCAGGGCTGGTGAGGAAGGCCGTGTGGGCAGGAAGGGCATCTCGGGCAGCGTGGCCGTGCGCCCGGGTGCTGCAGCACTCGTGCTGCTCTCCGCTGAGCGCCGCACACAGCCGGGATGAGCTCGCTCCGCCGGTGCGTCCGAGCAGGGGGCATGGGCTGAGCATCCTCACCTCTGCCCATCCTCACCTCTGCCCACGTTAGCCTGCATGTGCCAGCCCTGCAAATGACCACAGATTGCTCTCCTCCTGCCCAGATTGGTGTTGCTCTCCCTGAAAGGAGGAGAGGCCAGAGCTCGCCGTGGCCAGTGCAATGTGGAGGAGACTGAAGCAGTGCCTTGAGCACTGACTCCAAGGCATTTTGATGGATAGAGGGAAGTGTTTTTTTTCTGCAATATTCTATTTATAAAACAGAGGGAGCTGCTGTGCTTTTCAGACCACTTGGTGGAGCGAGCTGGCAAGGGGACAGGAGGTCCCGCAGTCCAAGAGCCGAGTGTGTGGTAGGTTACCAGGGCTCCCATCAGCCTGCTGGAGATGCCTCCATGCGCACACTGAAAGAGGAGGGCGAGGGGGATCTCTGTGTTGAGAAGACAGCAGCTTTAATGCCGGTTTGACAGGGGCCATGATGAGTTTGACGTCTGGAGGAAAAAGAGGTGCCCCAGGGCCAGGCCTGGCGATGTGGTTCAGTGTGCCGTGACCTGAGCCCTGCGGCCCTCCAGGAATGGAAACCGTCTTGGGAGCCCAACAAGGGCCTTGCGGTCTTCCCAGGGCCCGAGGTGGAGATGGGTATGACAACGTGAGGTCTTTAAGCCAGGCCTGGTCCTAGCTGCAAGAGAGGCTGAGCCTGCAGGCCCGGCGCGCGGCGGCTCGTGGTGCAGGCCCCGGGGCTCGCGTGGTTCCCTGTCGCTGCCTTCCTCCACCCGGGCAGCAGCCCGCCCTGCTGAGGCGCCACCGCTTTCTCCTGTCCCCCCACCCTGTTAGTCAGGCCTTGCTCCATAAGGAAACGATTATTCTGCACCCCCATGAGCCCCTCCCTGAGCTGGTGCAGGACACTTGTGCTCCGCATGGAAACGCRACAGATTTTCCATATCCCACTTTGCCCATGATGTTAAAAACGTACGTGACAGCGTCTTCCAAATCCCGGAGACTTGGCAGGTACTCAAGCCATAACAGTCTGTGTGACACCAGGGGCATGAAATATCGTACCAATAGCCAAGGAGAAAAACATGAGATGTCAAAGTGGTGTGTGTTTCCGGCCCTGTTGTCATGAGCCGTCCTCTACCCTGTGTGAGGGATCTTTCAAAGCTGGCCAAATGTTGTCATCTCTGAATACCATATTAAATATTCATCCAGACTATTTTCAACATCTGTGCCCGGCATGTTATGAAAAGGCAACAAGGAACGTTATGGAAACCAGACCACTTTATTCCTGCATGGAGTGGAAGGGGGCAGAAGAGCTGAGGCCTCTGTGAAGGAGCCACGAGAGTGCCAGGCCTCAGCTGGGATCAGCAGGAATAAAGCGCTCTGCATACCAAGTGATATTCCTGGGAGCACGTGGCGAGGCCGAACAATGCGGCAGGAATGTGCAAGGGGCTTTAGGACGGCTAGGGTGGGATTAAACTTGTGTAAAGCAACAAGTCGAGCAGCAGTAGACGTTAATAGACTGGGCTCTGTTGAGGCAACCGTGCTGGATGCTTGGAGAGCGGTGGCTCCGGATGGCTCCGTCAGCTGCCATTGCCTTGGGAGCGTTAGGAGCAGGGCTGCAACATGGGGAAGGCAACAAAGTGAGTGTCACGCAAGAAGGATTGGGCCCCACCGTATGCAGATAAGAGCAGGCATAAATCTCCCCATAARAGAGGGGCTGGCTTCATCCCGGGCTCCTGGTGAGCCAGGTGGGCTTGGGAGGATCCGATGGAAAAGCCACGGGTGCCACTGTGGTCTGCATATCTCTGTCCTTCCTGTGGACGCTTTGACTTAGGAAATACCAAAACTAACAATGCACTTAAGGATCCCTTCTTTGACAGCTCCTTGCACGTGTTTGAGGAGTCCTTGGACTCCTTGCGTCGTGGTGGATTTCTTTCCCTTGTTTTCGATAACCTAGGAAATCTGGGCTCTGTCTCTTCCTCTTTGCAACATCAGACGGAAATTAATTCAAGCCAGGCCAGATTCTGACCACAGGTATGCCAGAGTAAATGTGAATGGAGTCTCTTACGTGTTGCTTGGCCTGATCTGAATGGAGCAGCGTCTGCCGGGTGCCAGAGGGGCTGAGGTCAGAACCTGGCCCATCCTTTCCGCAGCGCACTGCAATTTGTATGTGTCTCCTGGCACCGCCGCGGTATCGTATGGCTTGTGTAATGCTGCCCCTGGCCTGTCAGAGTGCATTGCGATATCCATCACCGGGAGCGCCTGCTTGGGAAACGCGGCCCGCCTCGCAAGCGCCCGCGCCTTGCAGAGCGCAGCGTGCAGCCTCCAGGAGCCCTGTGCCGCGTAACGGGCCTCATGAGGCAGAAACGAATGGAATTATCTGTGTATTTACAGGCTCCTGATATTTAAGTGAAAATCAGGAAAAAAAAAACCCTAGCGTTACGGAGATGGAGCCTGCTGTGGTGCGCAGGAGCCATTAGCCGCGTCCCCGGTGGGCACCGGTTGCTCCATTAGGGCGGTCTGGAAATGCGATTAGCTCTGCTGCCCCCCTGCCCCTCCTGCCCACGCTGCGCGAGCCGGGGCCGCTCTCCGCGCCTTGGCTGCGTGAGGTTTTTCCTTTCCTTTCCTTTCAAATACTTCTCCGTTGCGTTTTTATCCCGGCGACACATGGAATGATTTATCCGTGTCCAGAGCCGAGTTTGGGCTTGACGCATTCCGCTTGTCGGATGGGGACTGAAACGTTTCCCAGCTGGCATCGGGCTCAGCGCGAGGGACCAGCGACCGCAGGCAGGAGCCAAGGGGAGTCCTGGCTCCCCCATCTGAAGGGGGTCCCGGTTTTGGGGGTGCAGGTGTCAAGTGGTGCCTTTGCCTTCGTTCAAACTGGCCCATCATGAGAGGGCCATGCACRCCTCTCATGGCCAGGGTACTGTGGCCAAACGGGGGCCCGGGCAGCTGAGAGGCACGTACCATCTCCAAACGTCATGCGTGCCCATCGTTTCTCTTCTTCCRGGCCCTTTCCAGCCCTGTCAGGGCATTCCTGCTCGGATAGAGCTCTCACTGGGCTGTAGGGCTTTCCTGGGGCTTGCACAGTTCCTGTGCAACCCGTCCTCCAAAATCTGCATCCTTTGGACCTCATGACCAGCTCCTTTGGGTCCTTGAGCTCCTGTTGGGGTGATTTTGGAGAAGCGCCCTGTGTTCCCCATTAGGTCCCATGCTGCTTCCCACGCGCCCCTCCGGGAACTCGTGTGTGCGAGGCACAGTGCGAAGCAGCCCTTGGGGGAGGAAGCCACATTCCCTGTCCAAACCAACGCCAAATAAGGCCAAGCACTTTCCTCTGGCGTGGCCAGGGCGGAGGGAGCACAAGCTCTGTCCCAGGCCCAAGGGGGGAAATCATCTCCTTCTCCCTGACTCAGGCCGGCAGCGAGCGAAGGGCCCGCGCGGAGGCCCTGTGTGGAGGGGAGCCCCTTCTCCCCACCGCCGCCGGGTGCTGTCCCCGCTGCCCGCCGGAGTGGCCGCAGCGCCGGCTGCTCGGGCTCGGCGCCCGCTGCCCTCTGCTCCAGRCACGTGTTTGAGTGCGTGACGCAGGCCGCGCGGATCAGCGCGCGCCGCGCTCGCGGGGAGAGCGGCCGCGCGCTCGGCTCGGCGGCTGAGGTCCCTCTCTGCAGCCTGGCAGCCACCCCGATCCGCGCTCCGCTGACCCCCGCTGTCTCTTGGTCCCAGCGCCGCTATTTAGGGATGTTTCTGCTTTTCCTTGGCTGCACCCATCCTGCTGCCTTTGGAGCGGGTGCTTTCCAGATTCCCCCAGCACCGGAGCAGGAAGGATCAGGGGTGCAGATGGCTGCCCCGTTTGCAATATGCACCCAGACGCCAGCACTGCTCTCCAAGGTGGTGCCTTCCTGGGG